ATGACCACACCACATACTACAGGTTTAGTTCTTAAAAGGTTCTTACACAAGTTCACACAAAATTTATGAGTTAAGCTGTAATGAGCAACATGAATCGATTCCATATTGTATTTACCATGGGTTTTACTCTTGTTTTCCAAAACAGAGGATGCTTACTGTGGAAGATGTGAACTGCATCTGTGTAAACTGGAAGAGAGGTGCAAGATGTCAGTACACCCAGGCATCGAACAACATCCGTGTTGTTGGTGCTGAAATCGCTTATTTTGTAGATGTTCTTATGGTAAGAGCCTTCTTTGAAAGAAATATGGTACTAGAACATGAATGTGGATGTAGGCAGCATAAAATGTTGTCTTCTACTCCACGATCATTTCAGTTGTGCTGAAAGCAGACCTTTTCTTTAAAGAACTGTTCTAGACAACCTAGGAAGTTCCACAAGACATTCCCACAGTAAAGCCAGGCAGAAATAATGAACACAGCAAACTGCTTCGTCATGGAGACAGAACCTACCTAAGCCTACTAAGGAGCTCATAAAAATGCCAGAAAATAAGCTGCCAGTCAGCAGAGGCTGGAGGACAACTGCTCTCAGGGAGCAACAGTGGCTGGGGACAAGTAGGACCCACCAGGGAAAGCCACAATGTACAGTACCCAACTCTACAGGAGGTTCCACATGCCCACTTTTGTAGGCAGCTTCACATGGAAGTGATGCTTGGTGTGAAGCCTTCTTTTATTCTAATTGCTTTCAACACACATTTCCCAAAAAATAACTGTAAATTACTGAAAAGAGAGAGCACGCTGGGTCTAGGGGTGCTCTGACCCACGTCTCACTCTCTACATCTCCATTGCAGCTACTGAGTTACTGTCCAAAAAGGCTGAAGGCATCTCTCCTCTCATGTTCTCCTCCAGCTGCACATGGTGCCCAACCTGCCATGTGCAGGAGTTCCTCCCTGGCTGATTCTTGCAAGCCAGATAAGCATTCTGTGAATCTTAACAGGTGTAGAATGTGAAACAGATACAGAGCCTCTCTGGACAGAACTGTCTAGAGTTATAACAGCCTCTAAAGGTGGGGAGCACCTGAATAAGGAGTTTTGAAAAATCTATGTATTGGACATAAATAACTGGCAAACAGATGCTGAAATCCTGTAAGAGTTCGTTATAGAAGAGGAGTCAGCTGTCAAATTAGAACTAGTTTTTCCAACCCCTTTTTAGTCTTCCTTGTTGCTGATGAAAACAGATGTAGCAATTTTTCTTTATTGCTGTTTTCCCAGAATGAATACGGATACTCTCCGGCTGATGTCCACATAATTGGGCACAGCCTTGGAGCACATGCTGCTGGTGAGGCTGGCAGGAGGAGGCCGGGGATTGGAAGAATAACTGGTAAGTCAGTGACTTCAGCCACCAAACAAAACATTGCTGCTCATTTTCTCTTCTGGTTTTATCCATGGGTTGCAGGATACTCAAGGTAATTTAAATACTATAATAGAACTCAGCCTCTTCTCATAGTACACCAAGGAGCAGTGCCCCGATAAGCGTGGGAAAACAGTCAGCAGGATGAATATTTTGCTTGCACATGTGTTACACAGCAAAGGAAATTTTCTAACATGTTCAACCCTTCCAGAGGTTAAAGCTACAGGTTTGATCTCCTTATTCATCACACAGGCAGCACCAAGGGTGTTGTGCGTTAAGCAGAGTGACCTTTTATAAAAGGTAATTTTGGATATTATTAACACAACCCTTTTCAATTGGTTACTTTTTGTCAGGGATTTCAGGCTTGACGAACCTTGGACTAATAGTCTACAAAAGTCAGTTTAAAAGTAAACCCTAATGTGTTGCCCAGGGACAAGAAGAGATGCAAGTATAAGTTGGCAAAAACTGCAATTTACAAGACTTTGCAAGCTCCTGAAATTGCTGCAGCAATTTGGGAAGCAAATTAATTCTATTTTCTGCTGGGCTCAAAAGCAAAGATCATCATTTCAAAACCAGATGATTTTCCCAAAATCTGACTGGAGCCAGAAGTAGGCAGGCAGGTTTCAACACCTTCAAGCATATGGGGTGCTATCAGCTGAAATTCCTCTTTGAGTACTCTCAAGCAAGGTGCTTTAGAAACCAGTTATATGGGATGCAGACACAGCAACCTCAGATTGAGCAACATTATTAAAGGGAAGTTCAATTAAATTAAAAAAAAAAATATATATATATTTCCAAGGGTTGGGATTCCATATTGATGTAAATATATAAATGAGAAAAATTTAACAGGTTTCACAAAGGTAACCCTTTTGAATTCCTGGAAGAAAAGCCACTTGGTAGGAGAAAGCACACATCATCATTTCATTAATGCCTATATTACTTAGATATGAGGAACCCTAAGCAACTGTATATGTGATAATCATTACATATCACCAATCAGTGTTACGTAAAATACCTTTACATCTACTTCTCTTTATCTATACATAACACTAGTCTTTTTCATTCAGGATTGGACCCTGCTCAACCTTATTTTCAAGGCACTCCAACTGAAGTCAGACTGGATAAATCTGATGCAGACTTTGTTGACATTATTCACACGGACTCAGCTCCCACAATCCCCAACTTAGGTGAGCATTCAGCTCTACTGTATTAATACTGAATTATGTATTTGTCTGAAATATGTACTGAATTTACGCCCTATAGCACTTAAGTATTCTAATTGTTCATTAAGACTGTTGTGCTAAGTCACAGACACAGAACAAATACACCATACTGGTCACTAACAGCTCCTAAAACACCACGCACAAACAAACTTGAAGCCAGCAGCTATAGGTATGAGACAATGTTAATTTAAAGCATGCTTACCAACATTTTAAATCCTTCAGGTTTTGGCATAACCCCAGCAATAGGACATATCGACTTTTATCCAAATGGAGGCGAGCAAATGCCAGGGTGTGGGAAGAACCCTGTCTCACAGATTGTAGATCTTGATGGCATCTGGGAAGGTAAGCATGTTGATTACATTATAACATCATGGGTATATCACCTGTCACGGTTTAGCCACTTAACTTTCTCTAACTCAGGTATTTTTCATTAGCTCTTGGTGTGTCCACTGGCAATGGCAGCTGCAGAGCACAGCAAAACTATAAATAGGCTCAAAACACACAGTTTTTCAGAGCTGATTAAAAAATAAACAAGACAAAGGGTTTGCCTCTGCAAAATATATCTCCTCTAAAGTATCTAATAGCAGAAACAGAAGTTACTGGAACCATGCCAAAAAAATTTAGAAAGGCCTGTAGCACACATTGCACTTTGTGTCTAGTTGCTCAGCAGCACACTGGTGGAGTAGGGCAATGATGTTCACAGCTACTCCTGTTAATGTATCTTCAGCTGCAATTCTTCTTCTGAGATAGAATAACTGATTTAATTCTTTTTTAAGTTACTGATTACAATCTGAGTTCCACTGAAGTGATGTCATTGTGTCTACTTCTAGCCAGCTAAGAAACGATTGGCATGCAGCTGCTCAAATACACTGTTCTTTGTTGTTTTATATGGCTCTAATAAAATCTCTGAGTTATTACAAAGGTTCTGTGTTTATCTACTTAAATTGCATGTTAAAAAAAAAAAAAAACAAACCACAAAAAAAACCTGGAAGATTTCTGCTGTGGAGATTTTTCAGTATATTATCTGAGCTCTTTCTTACACTACTGCAAATATCTTAAACTCTGGGAATCCATGAACTGATTTGTGATAACTAGCCTTTTACTCTAGCTTTTATTAAATGCAGCTGGTGGCATTACTTCTCTTTCTCTCTTTTTTTTTTTTTTTTTTATGGAGTAAACTTGTTATTAATAGTGGGGAATGAAAGCACAAAGAGATACCTGCATTGTATATGATCTTCTTTTTAACCTAAAGATAGGAAAATAAAGGCAACACAAAGAAAAATATATTCGTTATTTTAATCTTAGCAGTCTCCTTTCTTAAGCACCCCCCAAATAATAATAATTTTGTTTTGAAGTCCTCAGCTGGGGCAAATCAACATTGCCTTAGGAAGTTCACTGTTAAATACTTTTCTTTTGGTTTTCTTTTGTTATGGTAATGCAACTGTTGCCTACAAAAGACATGCTTCATGCAGTTCTCATTTCTATTGTTAAACTCGGTCACATTGCACGAATAAGTGGGTTTGGGGGGGCAAGGACTGCGCTGAGCTGCACAGTCTCCACAAAGCATTTCAAGTTTGCATTTTATACCTGTTGAGTCAGTGATATTCCTTAGGGCATCAATTCACCAAAAGTAAGTTTCCAACTTTATGTTTGATGCTCCAAGAACTGTGTTAAGGCTTTTGAGGAGGAATGATGCATCCCAATCAAATGGCAAGGGCTGTCCTGGTATCTTTCCTAGAACGGTAACAGAAAGGAAGAACTAACCTGGAAGCATCTCTTCACAGGAACCCGGGACTTTGTGGCTTGCAATCATTTGCGGAGTTACAAGTATTACTCGGACAGTATCATCTACCCTAATGGCTTTTTAGGATATCCTTGTGCTTCATATGATCTTTTTCAATCAGTAAGTATCTCTCAGAGCTTCAGGATGCACCTTATTGAAAATAGTGGCTCTTATCTATGCATCTGAAATTCAATTTATTTATGCTAGCTTGCACCCAATGAATGTATCTGTAAGAGAAGTAGGTGTCAGATGTCCAAAAGTATTACAGCTTGTGCAGATGACATGGGTAAAAGTAGAAGGCAGTAACAGAACAGGGGCGTACTTGGTTTTGCGCTGATATGGCAGCCCTGAAGTACTACTGGAGCCTGTGTGGCTTCCCCAGGCCTGCTCTTCTGCATCAAATTGGAAAGAAGTAAAGAGAACAGGCTGTCCTTGCAGTGGCCAAATGTATCTATCAAGCTGCAAGAACTGTGATCCCACACTGTAGCAGGTAAGCTTTCAAACACAGCTTAAGTTTCTTGGGTTTAGAACAAGAAGTAAAATAATATGTGATAACCTATAGCCCTTTGGTGACTGAAGATGGCTCCAGGGACAAAGCAATGCTTGACGGACAAGGTCAGGAAGCCCTTCCCTGTCCCAGACTTGGAGACAAAGAATTACAGCCTAAGAGTAGCAGGAAGGTGACAGGCTCATCATACCCTACAAGTAGCACAGACAGAGGTATAAACTTGCATAGTGTTTAGATCGACCTTTACACGTTCTAGCAGGTGACAGAGATTACACTTCTCAGATTGCTTTGGGAGAAGGTGACCACCTGCTTCTGTCACCACACTAGAAAGCTGCTTTCACGACAAAATCGAGGTTTGTTTCCAAGACAAAGCCTTTCTTGACCCAACCTGAAGCTATAAAGAGACACCTTTCTTTCTCATCAGTTGCTGGAAAGGACACCTCTTCTCCCTGCTCCAGTTCAAGACTTCTCAAGATTGGCACTGATGTGTCTGGATTGAGCTAAATGGCCCAAGAAGCAACACAGAGCCCTGAAAAATCAGAGCACTTGAGAAAGCTGGCTAGCTCACATGATCTTTCTTAAGTCGTAGAAAGGGTTACTTGAAATCTGTTGCTGTGATACAGGGCCAGTTAGGTGGGGTATATTAAAAATACATCCTGTGACTAATTTTTTGTTCTTGGCTGGCTGGACAATGTTATTAATAGATATATTTGTTTTCACTAGGGAAAATGTTTTCCATGCCCGCAAGAAGGATGCCCAAATATGGGTCACTATGCAGATAAATTCAAAGGGAAATTTACAAAGGACTTCATCAAGCTTTACCTGAATACTGGAGAGGCCAGGGATTTTCCTCGTGAGTTTTGATTCCTTCCTTTGTTATCTAATTCTTGTAAAAAAAAATTTAATTTACCTACTTTACAATCAATTTTAACAGATGAACAAATCTCAACATAGTACAAGGGCTCTTCAGTTCTTCATGCTTTTTCCTATTTTGCTCCAACACTACTGCCCACTTTGGGGCCCTCCAGTACAAGAAAGTTGTTGGCAAACTACATAGTCTAGTGAAGGTCACGGACAGGTTTAGTGGATTGTATTACAACGTTCAAGGAGAAGGAAGGATAGGCAAAGCAGACAAGTTGCAGCAAGGGAATTTCTTATTAAGTAGTATGAAAATCACAGTCACAGTGACAGTGGCTAAATGCAGGAAGAGAGGTCCAGAGAAGGTGGGAAATCTCTGCCTTTGGAGATGTTTAAAACTCCATTTGGCAAAGGCCAAGAGCAAGCTGATCACAGCTGGCCTGGTTTCAGAACTGGATGGACCAAAAGACCTCATTTACAGCCTTAGTTATCCTAAATGTCAACTCTCAAAATACAGTTCTTCCTTCTCCTTTGTAAACACAAAGCAAGTCTTCTTGAGCTGCTTTTGCTTATTGCACACTAAAAGAAATCACCCACCCACAAAAATTATTTTCCTTGAGCTTCAGGATTCTTTTACACTGCTTAGATTCTGTATTGATTTAGCACACGTCCTTCTTTCCAATGTCACTGTGTATGAAATCCTTCAAAATGCTCAGATCTATATTGTGTTTACTATGTTAGGGACCGATTTTCCCTTCTTCCTTTTCCAGAAAGTAACACAAATGTCTACCATTTCTGATGTTGATCTCATTAGGACATAATGACATATCTGACTCGCTGGTGTTTTTTATCTTCTGCTTTCAACTACTGTGTACAGATAGACAAAACGCCAGCATTTGATATTTTAGAGACTTTTTCTCCCTGGGTAGAACCTAACTTACTGTATTTCTTCCATGTAGTTTGGAGGTACAAAGTAACTGTGACCCTCTCTGGAAAGAGTAAAGTAAAAGGATATGTCAATGTTGCCCTGTATGGCAGTGATGGGAACACAAAGCAGTACCAGATCACCAAGTAAGTTAATAATTCAATAGAAAAGAAACTTCTCTTCTAGAGCATTTAATTAATATTTTAATTGAAAATTCTGTTCAAATTGATCTTTTTTTAGTGATCAAATTCTACCTCTGATGTAAATGTAGCAATAGTTCACTCACTCTGGGTTTACACTTGAAGGGAAAAGGTTAGAATGCAGGATTTTAAAATGTCAGAATTTGGTGTCGCTTACTTGCTGTTCCACAAAGGGCTTGCTGGACCTGCACTAGCAGAGTTCTGATCTTTTTCTCTTTCACAGGCTTGTAAAATGTCGTTGCCACAGCTGCTTATAGCTAAAGTTACCATATGACTTACTGCACAAAAAACCTACTTTTTGTTGCTCCTATCTTTCCTGCTTACACTAAAGCTGCTTCCTTGCCTCTTGTGGTTTTGTTTATTTGCATTTTTCTTGTTTATTTCAACTAAAATGTTTGAAATTATGAAAAATACGGAGAACGCATTTTGATGTGAGGTTTGGGTTTAATTTTTTTGCTTTGTTTACTTATAACTATGTCACTTCCATTTTCCAAGAACTTCACATCCTCACACCAGCAGAAGGCGTTGGCTATGAGCTGATCCCAGTTCACATGCATCCGTGCATTCACCTGAGATGAGTCTTGCAGATCCGGCAGTACAGGATGCACTCCAGCCCTCTCTAGCTTTGTAGGACCTGTTTCAATACAGTTGCTGGATGTGAACTTCTTTTTTTCTCCAGCAAAACTTGCTGTATCCTACCAGGCACCACTGTGGATCCAGCAGGGAAACAAAAAGGCAGATGGATTTTGTCCTGTCTCTCATTACTTCCACTACCATAAGCCCTTTATTGTGGAGGGGAGTAAACACCTGAAGGCAGATGAATAAGTGAGTGCAAAGCTAGGGGGAGGAATGAAAGTCCTGCCTTTCTCATGAAGCTTGATAATACTGTAGAGGTTTCTTCTGGGTGACTCATTCAAATGCCTCCTGACTTCATACACAGGGGTAAATTTAAGAAAATAGAGTGTAGGACTGAGAGAGAGCAAAGAAAAGGATTGGAGAAGTACTGACTAATGTTCAGTGAGATGTAGTAGCTGAAGCCATTACCAGTCTCAAACTGCTGTCAGTTAGAATTTGCTCTGTTGGTGCAATATGAAGCAAGTAGTCAGATTATAAACCAGGGTTACCCAGGAGCAGATGGGCACGTTACTTGGCCATGGTGTGGGAATCTCTGCTAAAGAGCCAGGCTGAGCAGCTAGTAGATAAACCTTCTGCCCATCCCAAACAAACCCAACATCTGTATCATATAAATTAACTAACATTAAATGAAAATTTCATTTATATGCAAAAAAACCCCTTCCCCCAAAAAAACATAAGCAACAGGGAGCGAGCTCTACACCTCCATAGGGATTGTCCTTTAACTGGGTCCTCACTGTGAGGTATGACTGCAGTATTTCAGGCCCACCTGCCTCTGAAAAACACTGATTTGGGATGAATTAAGTTGAAAAATTGGCAGCAATGTTTTTACCATATTATATGATAAACATTGTCTCTTTGCTAACTCTCTACTCATTTGATACCACAGCCAAGCCAATGAGAGGACTGGTAATTAATAGCAAATGCCGGCATGCCTAACATCCATAAAATGTTATTTTTCACAGGGGAACCCTCAAACCAGACAACACTTACACAGCCTACATTGATGCAGAAGTTAATGTTGGAAAAGTTACAAAGGTTAAATTTCTTTGGAACAACAACTGGATTAATCCAACTTTACCTAAATTAGGAGCTTCAACTATCACAGTAGAATCTGGACAAAATGGAACACAGTAAGTATAGCCATTGTGAAAATCTCAAAAGTTACTTGAGAAGACAGGTGACAAAATTATAAGTGGAGTGAAAGCCTTTTCACAACAAAAGCTCTTTAAAGCATTAAAAGAAAATGACCCTCAAGAAAATCTTTTATTTCCTTCCTTTCAAGACACTGTGCATCCATAGTTCAATTACTACTACTTCAACCCTTGACCTTAAATAGCTTGAAAGAAAAACCTAAAATCTTTCCAGGCTTTAGAAGAGCAAGCCTCCTGTATAACTCTTTGAGTGAGAAAAATTAGTGCTGGTTGGATTGTCAGCATCACTGTTGCCAAGCTCCACAAGAACTGCTTATTTTTGTGTCAGATTCACAGTCAGCTAGGACCAGCAGAAGTATTCTATTGATATGGATGATCCTTGAGGTCATGATTGGTAAAAGGGGATGGTGACAATAAGCCTACCCTTCCAATGGGGACTAATACTTAGAGCCTGCACTTAAAGCCTATATATATAAAATTGAGGTAAAGAGGTTAAAAGTGATTGTTCTAGACTTCATGAATATGGCTTGGATGTTCAGATTATAGAGGTAGGATTTACTGATCCAGTTTTTTCCTGGATTTTTAATAATTAAGTCTCTCATTTGCTTGTTTAGTTATTTTATTTTATCCACCCCATGATTTGATATCTAGAACAGGAGGTACAGCATAAGTTTTAGACCCATATACAGATGCACAGTTGAAATTCCATCACTTAAAAGATAGCATGGGAGATGAAAACAATTTCATGCAAAGGGAAGTGATTATGACATCACTTTAACTTACCTTAAAGCAGAGGTTCTAGGTCCAGTTTTAGTCTCTATTCACCAAAGCACATCACTGATGAAGTGTATTCCTGTAGAAGAGAACTCACTTTTCTACTGAATCATGGCCTCTGTACAAGTAATTGTGGTCATCTACACAAAAACTGTAAAAGAAACTAAAATTAAAGGAAGGCAGGCAGTAAAGCAGAATGGACACAGTCTATCAATGCCTTCCCCAGTAGCAGTATTTCAAACCTAGATGGTCAAAGTTTGTTCTGTCCACTTGTGTCAAATGACAAATCAGGTTGACTTATATTAAAACAAATCCACTTGTATAATCTCAAGAAATGTTGACAACTCAAGGTGCTTGCATTTATTTCTTCTTCAGATACCGTTTCTGTGGGTCCGAAATAGTGAGAGAGGATGTTCTTCAAACTCTTACTTCTTGCTAACAGCACATAAGGATGCCCAAACCCTTGCTACCAATAAAAGCTACTCATGCAGAAAACATTGGAGTCTGCAATTGTAACACTGGTGATATGTGGGGGTACTTTTGTTTGTTTGTTTGGGTTTTTTTGTTTGTTTTGTTTGGGTTTGGGGTTTTTTGGTGGTGGTGGTTGGTTAGGTTTTTTGTTGTTGTTTTGTTTGAGATTTTTTGGTGGTGGTGGTTGGTTAGGTTTTTTGTTGTTGTTTTGTTTGAGATTTTTTGGGGGTGGGTTTGGTTTTTTTTGTTTGGTTTTTTTTGGTGGTGAGTTTTTTTTTTTTTTTTTTTTTTTTTGCTGGTTTGGGAGGCAGAGGTTAAATCTGTGGATATCTCTATCTGTGGATCTCTCTCTTTAGACAGAATTTTTTGAATAGGTTTAGGAGAGAATGAGCCAAAGCCTGTTGAAGTATTCCCCTGCTTTCAGCATGTTTTGAAATAATTTCAAACCAGGGGAGGAAAGGGGGCAGGTAACAGAATCTGCATAGTGGCTCCTGGGCAGTACCAAAAGAAAGCAGATCTGCTTGTGAGTAGGAGCAGTGGATTAAGGATGTTCTTAGTCAAACTGAAGGCTAAGCCCAGAATTAGCATGAGATGAAGATGAAAGAGGGATAGGAGGGGAGGGTGAGTGGTTACAAAATGAGGACAGAAGTTTAATTTTAATTATCTGTGAGAGATGGAACAGTCAACATAATGGAGAATTGGGAATGTGTTTTGGGGCGTTAATGCTGAACTGAGCTCATACCATGCTCCACCCCTGGAAATGTTCAAGACCAGGCTGGATGAGGCTTTGAGCAACCTTGCCTAGTGAAAGGTGTCCCTGCCCATGGCAGGTGGGCTGGAACTAGATGGTCTTCAAGGTCCCTTCCAACTCAAGCTATTCTAGGATTTATACGACCTAAACAGAATAATTTTGAGAAATCTGCATAGAAAATTTCAAATGTTAGTGAAGTTTCACTGAAATGCTTATAATCATAACAATCTCCAAAGTATCCTGAAATCCCTTATACTGACCCTCAGTAGGGTCTTGAACAAAATTTCTGGATGATGCGATCAAAACAGGTAATGCAGGGAGAGAATCGGTTCTTTCCATGCTTTTTGATAAATAGATTCAGCTCGAGTGTGAAGAGTTCACAAAGTCATTTCTGACCCTGTGTAATCCTGTCTCAGCTCCCTCAGCCTGCTGCTGGAGAAGCCAGCTGGATTGCCTCTGCTTTCAGAAGTCCATCCTCACAGAAAAATCCCCACAGAACTGATGGAGATCTACCACTACACAGACCTCACAGTCCTGGGGCCCTTTCCTGCAGTTTCTCCTCAGGTTCCCCAGACTGGGGTACTCTGGTCTTTCTGCCTTTCTGGTTGACCTCCCCTCCCCCAGAACATCTTGTCCTAAAGGACATCAACCTCCCAGCAAGGCTTTAGATTCACTGGGCAGTGGTGGAGGTTGAAACTAATTTATTATGTGTTGGAGCACTACTCTTCTAATATAGAAAAAAAATAGTGTTTCTGTTTTATTCAGTGCACTCTGCCAGCTCTTGGAGGGAGATGAGGGCTGTAAGGAATAGAAAAGGTACCATCATCAGCATCCGTGGGCATGCTCTGAGCTGGAGTAAGTTCCTTATGTAAAAGCCAAACTGTGCCTTGCTTTTACAAAACTGAAGATAATATCCTCCAGCAATTTCAGTTTTAGTCAGAGATGTGCAAGATTGCTTTCATGTTTAAAAACTTTCTAAATTGCACTTGTGCCTCTTGCCCAGATTACAAGGTGCTAATTGGTTTAGAATAGATAAAAGGAAGAAGGTTTTTATTATAAGAATGGTAAAACACTGGCACAGGTTGGCCTTAGAGGTGGTAGATGCCCCATCACTGGAAACATTCAAAGCCAAGCTGGACAGGGCTCTGAGCACCTTGGTCTAGTTGAAGCTGTACCTGCTCATTTCAGGGGCGGGGAGGAGGGGTGGACTAGATGACCTTTAAAGGTCAATTCCAATCCTAACTATTCTATGATTCTACCCAATTTTGCTCCCTCAGGAGCAAATTTTGATCTGCAGGATCTCCAAGTCCCTGAAACCTTACCCTAGGTAGGCTAATATGGTATCTATATATATACGAAATGCTAAAGGAGACTCCCCTTGCTCTGTTGTCATAGATGTGTGGGATATTAAAATGCTAAGTCAATTTCTTGTCCAACTTCCTTCAAGAGGAAACAGCATGTGTTTCTTACACTGATGATATTACTTGATTATTCCCCTTCTTGCATTGCTTGTCTCCCCATGCAGCTCCTCATGGCAGCAGCAAGTGCTGCAAGCACAGAGCAGAGTTCTCTTTGTGTGTTTCCTTCCTGGCCTGCGCTGTCCAGGAGGATGCTTATAAGCTGACACTTATTTTGGCTCCAGTTTTTTCCATGTGTGGTCAGCCTTATAGTGGTAGAATAATACACTCAGGCTTAATAAATTCAAGGATATGAATTGTTTGTCCTGCACCAGGCTATGCTAAGTCCAGCTCTGCATTGTTCCTTCAAAGCCTTTCTTGACTCTACATGGCTGCAGTTGGGCAGGAAGAAGAGGATCCAGACACAGCACATTTCCTTCGTATCATCCAGTTCTTGGAAGAACACACATACCCTCTCCAGGGAGAGGAACAATGGCAGGTTAACACATAGCCACAGACACGAGAGCATCTGATGCTGGGTTTTCATATACCTCACACCCCAATGACATCTCCTATTTCCTTCTGCCTTCACTATTTGTCTCTTCCAGACTCTGGTTTCCTGATATCAGTATCTCCTGCTGAGGAAACCTCAACAGGGTTATTAACTTCCTAACACTGCAGAAGAGTTTCTCCTTTGTCTTTTGTTCCATTACCTTGGTATAAGCAGATTCTTGCCTACACAATTGTTTTGACAGTTACGACATTCTTGGCATTATCCTTTGCCATAGCCCCTTCAGCAACCCATGTAATTTTAACAAACACCTAACAGAATCAAGACATTAAAGTTGACAATAGCATAATAAAACTCTCCTTTTAATAACGAACTGGAGCTACCGTCATCTTGTTTTAGCAGAGCAAAATCTCCCCCCCAACACTTTACAAAGCTGTTACATAAAATGCAATGTTAAATGAACAACAAATTACTTTCCCTTTAGCTAGCTTTTAATGCTAATGGTGCTATTTATTCCTGACCTTTTGAAATATTAGATATTTTAAATGACAACATAAAAAGAATTCTTGTTTGAAAACGCGAGCGACTTTAAACCACATATTATTACTTGTAAGTATAGCATGCACATGCATCATTCATTTCAGTGTCCCATTTACGGCTAATTGGTATATATTTCAGTTGACATATATTGTTCTCCTGCAAATGTGTCAAATTCCTTAACGATGTTGGTGACAAAAGCAGAACGTTGGAGATATATAAATTACTCTCTTTACCATATAATCATTCTTATCTATTGGGAATGCTATTTGTGACAAATCCTGTTCAAAAATACACACTAAATTGATTATTTTTTTAAACTTTAATATCACACCATTCATGGCAAGTCTTTGATTGAATCTTTAAATGTAGGAATGTTTTGATTTTTATCTGCATCATTTTGTAGCTTTTGAAAAGCTCACTTTATTTATTAAAGGAAGAGTAGCACAGCGAGGATCTCAAAATGTATCTTTTGTTATCAGCATAAGAAAACAAATGGGCTATAATTGTGGATATGGAGTGAGTAATTTGCTGAAAAATGCTTTAGGTTTTATAATTCCTGCCAGAAATTACTATTATTTTGTTGGTGGGCAGTGTTGCAATCAGAATTTTAAATATGGGAACAACTTGGGCCATGTATTTTCATTACATTTGAGATTACCACGTGCAATGCATTTTTCTCCTATATTACAAATAATCTGAGAATAATAAGAAAAAATAAATTGAAGATTTCATGCGACTCTAATTATTACTGAGATATACCAGAGCTCATTGTTGTCTTTAGACAATGCTGTCCACAGTCATTACTTTTCTCCATAAATCAGTAGGATAATGAGGTTCTATCTTTCAAGAAATATTTGAGCGTATCTTAATTTGGCATTGATGAATTCTCCTTACTAAATCTCTTGAGGGGTTTTTTGATCTAGTTCGTCATATTAAAGCTTTCATCACCCAGTCATAGCTGACAGTGCAATGTACTTGTATTTAATTCCATACTTCCTGGGATGCATCCTCAGAGGTTGCAAATAAGAATTTTATGATGTTATACCTTGAAGGCTAGTCTTGCCTTAATTTGAGTGTAAATCCTAAGGTATTTTGCCCTCATACTTCAGAAATATATACTATGTATGATTGTATTTAACTGTGAAAAACAAGGTTAAATTTGTTAACATCTTGTTACTGATACAAACTGGGAAAATCTCTTTGACAAAAGAGATATTTACTTGAAAAAAATACTGTTTTTGCCAAAGAAATTATGTAAGTTCAGGTACTTATTTTTTTAGCTCTGCAAACCCCCTCAAATCTGAAGACAAGAAAAGTGTAAGGTGTATCCCCTTTCTTAATTGTTCAAAACAGGAGGCTTCAGCAGAGGGCAGAGGAAGAAAGGAGAGGGTTGATGTGATCTTCCACAGCCCTGAATGAAAAAATACTTATAGTGATCTACATGACACTTACTTCTAAACTGTGCCTATATACAAACAGAAGCAAGAAGCAAAGTACTCTTTAAATTATGTCTAAATGTAGTATTCAATTACACAATAACATTTGAGTGGCTACTACACTTGCTGGCACCTTGAAGACATATATTATGTGAGACCCAAAGACAAAAGTTGCATTCAAGTCCCTCTTTGTGCTGTGACCCATGGAATTATTGTTGTGGCACACATCCTATGAAAAATCTTATCTTTAATTGCATTGAGGAGACAATGGCTTCACATCTCACCAATTAGGGAGGTGAAGGGGAAAAAAAAGGGGATCTAAACCTCTACAGTAATCCACTTCTTCACATAATAATTTATATTATTACATTTTTTCATATAATTTTTATAACCTAAGTCTTGCTCTCATGAAAAATAACAGTAACGAACATTACTGGTGGCTTGGGTACCTCAGTTTTGGGGTGTGAAGTTCCATAGGTTGGATTCCTCTGGGAGTCCTGAATATCTTTTTTGGAGAGTGAGGCCCGCCTTGAGAGTGGTACCATTTCTTGCTTAGAAGAGGGTCTTCATTAAGGAGGAATATAGTCATCACCTTCATTACATGGAATGCAAAAACACAAAGTAAGAATGTGTATGTTCCTGCCTGAGGTGATAGAAGAACAGAGGCCATCCCTCCTTCTCCCAACACAAAGCACTCTGTTTGCTGGCCACAGCCTGAGTCAAACTACAGAAGCTTCCACAGGAACTGCTTAACAATAAATAAAACAAACTCTTGGTTTAGGCTGACAACCTTTCCTGCACTGGCCTTAATTCCTTACTCAAAAGTCATCAGGAGAGAAGTGTGAAAGAGGTTGCCCACCATCTGCAGCTCTCACCAAGGTGCTCTCAGTTCCTCAGGGGCACCTGTGGCCTGACCTCACATCTCTCTCCAATCTTTCTCCGCTCCCATTTGCTTGCAGTTTGGAAATCAGTGCCTATGTCCATTTTATACCCCTGGAGAGGCACAGTACATTTAGTGGGAAGTCAGTGAGGAGACTGTGTTTGCTCCCTCTGCACCCTCATTCTGCAATTATCCCTCTCCAAACTGGCCATCTCCCACAGAACACGGAGAGGATTTGGGAAAGAAGGCTTCTGCCCTTCATTTAAGAGAGATGTAGATCCTCAAGCCTTTGTCTTAATTCCAAAAGGCATTAAAATATCTTTGCTGGGTCATGAAAATTAGTCCCTCCCACTAACCCTGCATTACAAACCCTCTTCAGGTGCCTGTGACAGAGGGGGCATTGAAGGGCAGCTCCTGGCACCACTGTGCCATCCTTTGCAGGGTCAGAAGGCATGGCAGCACAGCAGCAGAAAGGAGCATATTTCTGTTGCAACAGACCCTTGTTGGGGATTAAAAACTTTTTTTTAAACAAGGAAAATGTTAAGAGTGAAGAGAAAAGTGACTGAACTAAAGAATAATTCTCCTTTTGACCCCCAGAGAAAGAGGTGCCTAATGAAAAGATACGATCACAGACAGTGTGAAGATAACTGTCTGATTGGATAATGGAATTGTTTTCAGTGATAAGAATGAATCCATTACTAATGCAAATAACGATAATAATTATAATTTGCAATACAGTAAAAATCACCTAGTCTACCTCCTCCTCTGACAGGAGACTGTATAATAAATTATAGGCTGAGAAAAAAAAAATCAGAGGGATAAAGGTTAAAAGATTTTAAAAAATTCTGAAACTTAAATGCTTATCAGGGAAGTCAAGACCTGAAAGCAGAAATTGGTGCTATTAAATAAAGCATTTGTGAAGAATGAGATATTATGGAATTGATTAATAAACCAGAAACCAAGCATTTCCTCATATCACTACCTCTTGTCACAAATTTCAATAATTCTGAAAGAGCAAAAAATTAAGAGCTGGCATATAACAAGGAAATGAATTATTTCAATGTAGGTGAATATGCTAATAGTACTCTGGGAAGATGAATATAACTTAACACACAAAAAGCCCCCTGAAGGTTCAGTAAATTTGAGGAGTTTCACCAGTTGTTTTTGCTTTGCTTTGGTATCCAGAACAGGTCCAGCTGTTCCCTCACTCCCAGCCAGGACTGCATCCTCAGACAATTCACATCTACCAGGCATTTTAGGGCTGTCTGGGCATGCCAAGATGCTCATACCAATTCCATAAGCTTTGTTCGTGTGAGGGATTTTGGGTATGGAGACAGCATGAAAAATGCTTAATTACACCTTGGGAGGAGTAGAATAGGGCAGATGAAACAAATCTTGTATGCAGAGTTTGCACTACACTGAACTGTTTTCTTGTTCACAGAAATTCTGCTTTCTCTCTTGGTTAAGCAGAGAAGAAAGGGATACATCATTCACTGTTGGCATCACACCAGTCATACAGTTGTAAGTGCTACAACACTGGGAATCTACCAAGAGGTCATGAGATTCTTCCACACTCATCAATTTTGAGTAAAGTAACAACTATTAAGTGACAGAGTCTAAAGCACTGTCTTCCAACACTCTTCATTTAGATCTTCATTTTCCAAAGGACATGATGTTCCATAACAGCCACATAGAAGATGCCAGAGATTTTAATGACAGGGAGAGTGTAAGGGAGACCAGAGGTGTTGACACCTAGCCAAAAGTAGGGGTGACTACTGGATTAAATTAGCCTTTAACCTCAAAGTGGAGCCCCATTTTCTGTGGTTGGAGTATTTTCTTGCATTTTAAATTCAGAGTAAAAAGCTCAGTCTAGCCTGCCTAAGCTTTCCCAACAAGTCATTCATGAAGATACAGATTTCTCACACTCTGAAGTTTTTCATTGCAGCATTTTTCATATAGCTTAACACATTTCAGGTCAGCAAGGCATAAGTAGTTTATCAAAACCTCCCCAGTATAGGAGTTCAAGGAAAATGCTTTAACCATGCAAATTCTAAAAGTAAAGTGAGTGCAAAACGTGTAGTCTGTTTCATAACCATGATTTGTGGTTACCTCATAGGTGTAATTTATCAAAAACACATCCAGTTAACACAATATTAACTGCTGTAACAAGCTCCTAAGATTCAAATGCACCCTTCACTTTGCACACAAGGCCTTTAATCATTGTTTGCAAAAGTCAAAACCACAATGTGTCTCAACTACCCATATCACGTTTCATTGTTTGTTGATGCTTCACCAGGGTTGTTTTGTAGTGGGATGTACCCAACACAAGCCTTTCACGTGTGTGCACACAGAATAACTTTGGCATCAGTTTCCAAATCTACTTCCAGCAATAAGATGCCTAACTACAAGAAATCAGCATCCACTGCCAACAGAGCCATAAAAAAAAAAGATAACAGGTCTATAAAATGTGATTGAAAGACCTGGGGTTTAATTAAAGAATTAGGGCATTCATGAAATGAGTCTTCAGATATGTCAAAAGATGTCAAAGCAGGAATGGGATGAAATGTCCCCATGTTCTCTAGGGGTAGGACAGCCAGAGAGAGTCAAAGCTGACGTTATGTAAGATTTTAGATAGATGAGGACTGTGAAACACAAGTCAACTGCCCAAGCAGGCAGAGCCATTGCAGGGTTAGAAGGTTTAAAATCAGACTAAATAAAAGTTGTGAGTAGCTTAGGCAGAACTAATACTATTCTGCAGCAGGACAGTGATATATGATTGATGCCTGAGGTCCTTTCCAGCTATATGGATCTGTGATGCTTTGACAGAGCTGCAGCTGTAGTCAGTAAAAATACTGGATGTATCTGCACAGAGAGAGAAAAGAAAAAGGGGGAAAATATATATACTATACACTATATACTACCTGACTCTGAAGGATAGAAATGAAAAATGCTTCCGTGGGATGTGATTGGTGTGGTTTCTCAACATCTCCTCAGTTCTTTAGCGTTCTTGCTAAGTGTGTGGCACTTTTTGATCTTCAATCGCATGTGTTTCACCCCTAAGACAAAATAAAAGAGCTACAATATTATTCAAACACTTTTTGGAACACCCTTAATCTCATTACCTGAACTTCAACTGCCTTACACAAATACCAAACTGAAACACTGACCTTGTTATCCTGAGTTGACAAAATATCTATCCTCCTGACCACTGAGTTCTACAACTAAGGACTTTTCCAGGTTCAAGGCAGCTAGCTGTGTGTTCCCAACATGCTACGGACAGTACTGCCATTCAGGACCCCTGCTCACACAAGGAACACAGGGAGAAAATTATCTCAAGAAGGATGTTGTAATGTTGTTTGTGGAAAACCACACTTATATGCAAGAACTCCTGCATATAACATCCAGGACCAGCATCTTTGCTGGATTCTGCTCTGCTAACATTTAACTTATTTCAACTCCACTCATTTTTAGGAGTCAGTTGTCATCTAGGTAAAGTGTTGGTGGGGTGACACGGGCTGAGAAAATAAATCTATTATGATTGTCACTAGATGAAAAGCAAAACCTCTGAACAACACATTGAACTGCAGTGCTTTAACTGCAACCTTGTGTATGTTAGCAAATACACAGGCACGGCATGCAGGGTGTTTGTGTGTGGGAAGCATCAAGCACTGAGATTGCTCTTTGTACTGCAAAGGAAGAGGATATGTTCAGTCTGGTGTCTGCTCTTATCAGCTGATGGCAGACGGAAGTTCCCACTAGAGGTGCGGAGCTTATTCCTCAAAGGGAAGGAAACACTCCTTGTTGCCCTTAGAAAAGGGAGACTCACCTTTCTAACTCCTTAGATTACTATGGTTTAATGAACTCTGCATTCACAGCTCTCAATCTCATCACTTCTTTCTGTTTTGAAACCTTCCCTGATCTTGTTACTGCCAGAGCACACCAATGCATTTGTCCTAGCCATTCAAAATCCTGCTTACAAGCCGGTTCTTTTGGTTTCCTTACACTCAGGAGGGTGTTGTCCTCCTTTTATGTCTTGGCTCTGCTGCAGCACACAATATCCCCAGAGTAAGCTCATACTGTATTTTTTGTTTCTCCATGCTTGTGTCAGCTCACCTGTGGACACCGACAGAAGGATCACAGTGGCTGCAATTTACCAACTTCTTCATTTCTTTGCCATCCCTTGGTAGTCCAAGTTCAGTAACTTCTGCTGTGGGTACAAAGCCAGAGGTCCTGGGATATGGTGTCTAGTAACCTTTTCCCTAATTATAGTCTCTGAAAAATCAGAAAATAGGTATTAGTTTAAAATTATAGCCAGCATCCACGCAATTGTATGTTAACTAAAGCCAATACAGAATTTCTTGGTTTGCAGAAAAATGTTTGCAGTTAATTTGACTTAATATGTGGCATAAGGATGGAGAGTTTTTGTTGCAAGAAACTGATCTTTGCCTCTGTGAACTGCACAGGTTACAGTGAAATTTCTTGCTTTGTTTGAATACCCACATTCAGGTCTCTAATTTGAAAGCAAAAAGCACAATAACTTCCTGTGACTCTCATCAGTTCCACCACGAAAATGTTTCCCTGTGTTAGAACACAGCAAGGCACGAATGAGAACTAATAAAACAGAAATTATCAAAAAAAAAAAAAAATTAAGTACAAGCTTTCCAATATCAGTACCTAATGAAATTGGCAAATAACAGGCCTGAATCCCAGTTACACAAAGCATCTGCACTCTCACCAATTTATCCAGGTTGCATCTCTTGAAAATAATGTAGCTTTTACACTGAGTAAAGGAACTCTGCATTCATTGTCTTTAAGACAGATGTCTGGATGGTGCTTAATGTAGCTATTTGGAAACTGAGAGAAGTTGGACGCTGCTGTCAGGGAGGTTATTTTATAAATTGTTTTATTCCACAGCTATTCACATGAATATAACATCTGCAAATTTCAGTAAGAGCTTATGTGATTTTATAGAACCAACAATTTATACATAATCCCTCCTATCAAGATAGGGCCATACCTTTAAATATAAACACACTCATATGAGAAAACCAAGAGATTTAGAGAAGTCCAGTGAAAGGACCAAATTCTGAATGCACATACGTGGAACTCCGCTGGAAACTTCAGCAATGTGCATGAACGCTGAAAGCAAAATTTGGTTCTCAACGTGTCTCTGAAGACTGTAATTATATTTCCCATTGTACTGGTAACATTAATTGAATGTTTAGCTGAAATCAAGTTCATTACAAGTTAAATACAGTACCTCACATATTAGGATGGTGTTTATAATTATAATAACAAAGCACTTGTAAAACATCTTCATTGCAGCAAACAGGAGGAAGTTGGGGTGTAGTGGCTGCTGCACATTTCAGTTCACTCTGCATCTGAGCTGCATTGTACATAAGGTCACATAAGCCCCTGAATCCTCTCTATAGCCAGTGACAACAGAGCTGAATTTTAGAGGGACGTAGCCTACAACTGTTAGCAGAAAAATGTAATATTGCACAAATTGTTATGCAAGGTTTTTTCCAGTCTAGCTGGACCTTACTAAACATTTCCAGATCTATAAGGAGACACATTCTCATGCAAATATACCCAGTTATTGGCCCGATAATACAATTTTAAGAATAAACCAGCTTTTAATAATACAAAACCTAAAGATTACCATTCTCTTTGATATATCAAATTTTATATTTGATTTTCTGGCTGAGGGCAGTACTCCAGAAGATACCCGATCTGCTTTTGGTATTGCCCAAAGTCAGTCTGTCATAACTCCAACAGACACCCTACTCAGAGCTACACTGCCTTTGATGGAAGCTGAATGATCACCAGCAGTGAATGGAGTACACAAGTGAACCTTTATAATGAATTACATTCCTTTTTATAGCCATTTTCATAAAAATAGTGACACCCAAAAAGAAAAATTAATTTTAAGGTATTTTATTTGACATGATTGAAGACACGAGAACACTCAAGATACAATCCAGACAAGTTGTGAACAGCTCCAAACATCAGTGAAATCTGAATTTATCTTGCACAGAGGTGAACAAGACCACAATGGTTGGTTTTATAATATAGTTTATTTCAAGCAGGTGAGTACTGTGACATTATGCCCAACAACTTTTATACTATTCATCCGCTTAAGCCACTTCATACCATAAATATGCAGCTTATCTTGGCAATTAAATGTCTGCAATATATAATTAGCCTTCTCATAATAATGCATTAAAACTCCTGTATATAAATATTGGTATATTCATACCAATGTAAACTGTCCTAACCATCACTGCACATTTATCATATTCTAACACAATTAATCATTCCATCACAATTAGCTGCTAAACTTTAACCTAGAGTTCAGTAAGTTGGACCTAAACTTGCAAGTTGCTGCTCAGAGCAAAACTTAAGCCAAGATCCCTGCCTTCCCTATGGGTAGCAGGCCTTGTCTTTCCAACATTAAGTTGCATAATGTCATATGCAACCCCTACAAAAAAAATGCTGTGCAGGGACCCTCCTGCAAAAGTATCAGAACTACAATTCTAAAATTTACGCATTTCCTAGTAAATTCCACATTAATTTTACAGCCTACCATCCTTTATCAAAATGGGCATCCACATGCCTCTTAGAATGTAAAGTTGTTTAACTGGGTTTTAGTCTACAGACCACAGCATAATATTCTACTTAAAATTCTAATTTCTTAGGAAGACAAGCTAATTTTCCATTCTTAAAGAGGGCAACAAGGATAGATGGGAGTTTGTCCAGTAGTTCAGTGCTCTGCAAAGGTAAGCTTGATAGTGCTCTCATCAGACTGAAGGAGGAAGTGCAAAAATATGCAAACTACATTTTACAGCTGCAGTAATTTCAGCAAAAAGCCCCTGCTTGGATCCAAATGGAATCTTACAAAAAGTGAATACAAAGGGCAGAGAATCACTGCTGTACAGGGAACTGTGCTTCAGAAGAGCTGCAGGAACTACCAGCAGCATTCCCTGCAGACAGCTGAAAACAGCACAAAAATCATGGGTCACCTAATCTTGCAGGTCACCTCCTTGTCATAGGGGAGAGGAGGGTATGGCAGCCATTTAGTAGATCAAATTCTGTGTTAAGGCCACTGAAAACAAATCTGTGCAGAACTGGACCAACTCAATTTAACACTGCATGCAAAGACACCAAAGCCTGTTTTAAAGATTTTTGTCTTTTGGTAGGTGGAAGTGGTAAAGAGAGACTGGGTCTTACCTGCAGCTGCAATAATGAGTGCTGCCTGACTTTGGAAAGTAGTTTCTTGTTTGCGGTTGTTTTTGGTTGTTTGTTTTTTAACTAGAGAAAACCCAAAAACCTAGTGAAGAAGCTGTATATCCAGATCATATAAACTAATTTTAAACTTGGTTTTACAGGAGGATTCATCCATTATTATGATAAACTGCTGGAGAAAGAATGGCCACCATCTGAAATGAAGAAATGAAAACCCCAGCATCATACTAGTGCATCTGTGCAATGCGTTTAACTGGCATGACTTGCACTGCAGGAAGAATGTTGTATTCTCTGACACACCATCTATTCTTTCCTATTATTGTAAGATCAGCTTTTTACATTTCATATCTTACCATCTTTAAAAGCCTATAATTACAGAAGCTGATTGAGAAACTATGTTATTTAAAATTAACAGCTGAATGAAATCAACAGAGGCAAAGAGCGTTTTTATACAAGAAAATAGCACTGTAGAAAGAAAGAGTCTGTACAATATTTAAATATTGTATATACATAAAATTATATTGTTCATAACTCATCTTAAAGTTTCTCTTGTTTGTAAACCATGGAAAGCAACACACAAAAAAATCCCAGTATTTAGCTTTTAAAGCATTTAGCAGGCAGCAGGAAATCGACTGCTAGCAAGCACACTTTGTAATTACAGAAAGTATCCAGCTGGATACTATGACTTAGCATTCTCCTTAGTCCTTTATTTATATATATATTTTAAAGCTGAACGCAGAACACATTTCCCATTCAACTAGGGAATTCTGCAGGAGACACAGAAAATTCAATGGCAAAATGCAGTGGATCAGTTCTGTGGCAAAACTGCAGGATAAACACAGAAAGCTTAAGTGCAGGAGTGGAACATAAATTAGTGAAATTATTGATTAAGCTTTAATCTCCCAATAGTGTCAGTAATGGATTTAACTCATATTCCACTTATTAGAAAGGAAGGTTTTCATTAATAACAACATTTTTCAAAGTTTCAAAAACATAATGAATTCCAGCAGGTAATTGGGCAGCTCTGTATAAATGCTCTGAAAGTGTAAGCATTTTAGGATGATTGGTGGCACCAATCTGGTAATTTGGCGTGGGATTTGAATTTGAATCTGTAGTTGTCAGTTCATGGCAGATACAGAATGTAGGTTTCAGAAGTTTTCCACCCGTAGCATTTTGCAAAATAAGAACTATTTGAGTTGTAAAAGAAATATTGCAGATGAACATGCTTAAGAAAATGTTTCCAGAAAGTTGTTATTTGAAAAACAAGATGCTGCCATGACCATCATTGCATTTACCCTGTGTTAGAGTTCTGTGCTCACAGACATGTAAAGCCACGTAGCTTTATTTAATGCTGTTTGTAGTTTCATTATATTGGCTTCTGCCTTCCACTTTATTGGCCATTCAACTCAACACAGAAATATATTTTACTCCATTTAAATGTCTGCTACATAAAATATATTATGGTACTTTTAATCTGAATGGTCTTCTCTCTTTTAAGTCACTTAAATGTTCCTGGACAGCCATCATCTAGCTGTACTTCCAAATCTCAATACAAGAATTAACAGGAAAAAAAAATAATCCCTTGAAGAAGGAGGAATAATCCAATACACCAGGATATGCTGTGGACTCAGAAGCAGCTTGGTGGCAGTAAAAGACCTCGGGGTCTTGGCAGACACAAGGCTGAGTGTGAGTCAGCAACGTGCCCTTGCAACAAAGAATGCCAACAGCCTCCTGGGCTGTACAGGGAACAGCCCTGTCAGCAGGTCAAGGAACGTGATTATTCCCCCTTATTCAGCCCTGGTGAGACCACAGCTGGAGAACTGGGTCTGGTTCTGTGCTTCCCAGTGCAAAAGAGATGTGGACATACTGGACTGAGAGCAGCAAAGGGCCAGGAAGATGCTGAGGGGATTGGGGTATCTTCCATGTGAGGAGAGGCTGAGAGAGCTGGGGCTGTTAGGTTCAAGAAGGCTCAGGGAATTTTAGCAACATGTAGAAATGCCTGACAGCAGACAGGAAAGAAGACACAGTCAGACTTATCAGAGGTATCCAGTGTAAGAGGCAATGTTCACGAATTCAGACCCCAGATATTCCTTTCAAACAAAAGAAGAAGCTTTTTTGCAGTGAGGGTTGTCAAATGAAGTTTAGGCATCTCCATTCTGGAGATATTCAGAACTGAAGAAAGCAACCTATTCTGGCTGATACTGCTTAGAGCTGAGAGGTCGCATCAGACAGTCAATGGATGTCCTGTTCAACTGTTATGTGATTCCGTGGTTTCAGATGGAAACTAATAAAAATAAGTTTAAAAGACCCAAATGGGAAACAGCTTTGCTCTTAATAGTCTTCTGAAGTATAATGAGGGCAATGCTCGCTAATTAATCTAACAGTTTGTTCTGAGAGCTTTGACAATAAAGGCCTTGTTTTCAAACTGGAGCAATCAATATTAGGTTCTGAGATATATATATATCTGCTTCCTAAATGTAATTTTAAGGATTTCTGAGGATTTTCTTTTCCCATTTCTTTGAGTCATTAATTTTCAACACTTTAAATTTCAAAAGCACCGGGTAAAGTCAAAAGAATACTACTAATTTGTTCCCACTGCCAGAGGATGGTGCTATTTAAACAGATATTCCACACAAATACACCCCCTACAACAACCATGTGGGTTAGTAACTTTTTCTGAGGAGGAAGAAGAAGAACAACAACAAGGCAAAGAGATTATAATTTTATATATTTTTAACTAGCCTTCGAGACCCAAGAATAATCAGTGTTTACTTAATAAAGGTAGATCTTTATGCATGCTTGAGTAATTTGGGAACTTTTACTACCTCTGGACTTTAGCTCCCAAAACTTTGTAAGGGTCTTTGAAAATGGAGCCTTTGGTCGCCAAAGGGTACAAACACGACATTACCCCACCTTAGTACTAGCTGTTCTCACATAGCCTGCTGAAATTCAACTTGACTACATGATATATGAAAGTCAAAAAATGGAATACTGGAAGATCAGTCTCACAAACAGGCTGTGGTGGGGAAAAGGACCATTAGTAGTTTAAGAAATCAATACCAACTTTGACACTTTTAGAGGTCGCAACATCAATGGCCATGGCTTTGATTTCAGTGTCCCCAAACTGCATCAGTGTTTTGATCTCCCGCCGGTTTGGCACTGAAGCGTCAGTTCCCGTGAGATCCAGGCGAAGGGTGCCACACTTCTTCACGCCAGATTCAGTGATGAAGCTAACGTTGTCTTGTTCTGAGCTATAGATATTGATCACTATTACCAGCTGGGAAGGTTTGGCAGGTGTGTAACTGCGTGTCACAGTTTCCCCAAGCGCTACAGATTGGTCGGCTGAGATAAATTTGTCAAAGACATCAGTGCACCAGCGTGTGCCATCTTTGACTAGAAGCTTCTCTGGTGGGTGCTTCCCTTCCACGAACCGGTTGAGCACACCAACGCCATAGGTGAGCGGCGAACGCCGCACTTTGATGACCGCAGGGTCTAGGCCAAAGAGAACAGCTCCTTTGAGGATGGTGAGACCTACATCCTGAGGAATGATGACTCGACATCTTGAACCAAAAGCACTCTGCACAGCTTGTTGGAGTAAGGGGGATTCGGCAAAGCCACCCACCAGGAACAGAAATTTGACGTTGGTCACTTCTGGCTTGTCGAACACTTCACCTGAACAGAAACAGAGCCCATTCAATAAGGGAAAATACACTGTGACAAGGCAATGCTAATGCAAATCCTAATGTCTGAGCGCACTGAATGTTTCATGCACATGCACAAGATCTGAAAGCGCCACATCTATGCCCACACTGCCACTCTCAGCATTCACTACTCCCACTTCTGGAGTCTCTACTATACTCTATTTCACTATGAATTCACTTACTGCAAAGCATACAATATTTCTGAAATTGCCTTTAAACCAGAATTTTTATTTATCTTCTACCAGTAAAGGGAGACATACATATCTTGCAACAAAATCCTGCCAGTCACATTATTGGTAATAGGGAAACAGACATCATCTTGCCACTTCAGGTATCAGCAAGACATTCTCAAACCCAACTGATTCCCACACTCATTACTACATTTCAGATAAGTCACCCCATTTTAAGTTCACTTATTATTTCTGACCCTGACATCTTAACCACAATAAATACCATCTGTGAAGTTATACCTCCTTACATTTTTACAGATGTTCCCTCTTAGCTAGAAGTCATATTCCCTACTTTCAGGAATATCATGCAGTTCAGTTGTAGGTTCACCCTTAGTTAAAATGATTGAGGCAGCACGACTGAGTTACATGGCACAACTGGTGTAATTCTAGGCCTCTCCCTCCCTGTTCACATATAAGTTCTGACCTCTGTAGTTTACCTAATAATCCCTCACATGTAGTGAGCAACGATAGATATTCCATTCCAAATATGATTCAGCTAGTGCTTTTTAATGTGTAGAACAGAAACACTTTGCTCAGTACATTCATTATACTCTACTTGACACAAATCCAATCTTCCACCACAAAGATCTTAATCATTTTCCCAATAAGCCCACATCACTTTCCATTACTGGATAAATAAATTCAGTGCTGTTTAAGCCATGCCTGGAAGTACTTTTACCATGATGCATCATTTACTATTTACATTTAAGAGATGTCAGTGATTTGGAGGTTCATGAACAAAAATGTCCTTCCACTGGGAAGAAATGAACTGGAGGTCTCAATAGCAAGAAAAAGCAGAAATTAGTGAACACCTCTGGCATTATTAAGTTGCTGCTTGAAACAGGAAAAAGAAAAGCAGGATCTGGGTTTCTTGGTGCATTTTAATCTTGTGAATGTTTGCAGCCCTGGAAGTATAGAATAATTGAAGCTTAGGCAGTAACAGGACTGAATCACACTCAGTAACTACTACTAGAACTAAGCAGGAGTATGTGTTCAGGAGATGTCCCTCCCTCTCATCATTTTCCTAACTCATTTGTAGACAACTACAAGTTTCAGAACTAAATTCCTCGCCCACAACTGGTACACACTACGAAGGTTGTTTGACTTTATTACAGTTACTGCTTTGAAACAGCAAAGAAAAACTGCTGTTTCAACAAAGCCAGCAAGTGGAATTACACACAGATACGTACTGAGGTGCTGAACAATCTGGTCAATTGTAGGTTTGAAAAGAGCATTCATTGCATCTGGGCTCATCCTCAGCATTCCCTGGGAAGACCACTTCACGAAGTCCACACTGGAAAAGAACGGTTAGGAAAAAACATTAAAATGTTACAGCTGAGTTGTAAAACAATCATCAGACACACTAAATACATAAAGGAGTGGGTTTACAGGATCTGTATGCATTTTGCTTGTAAGAAAGTGCTCCACTTCACCCTAGTCCCATACCAACCGCAGCAATGTAAAATTTCAAGATAGAATTATTAGTTTCCTTGTCTAATTGTTGTTTTCTTTGCCTGATTGCCTTTTGCAGCATTAACAATGCTCAACTGCTTCCTGAAACAGCTGGCAGTCAACCTGGGGCTCGCTCATTTGAAACAGCACTGATTCATCCCCAGAAGGGCAACATCTATGGCAGTAGCAAGCCAAAGCCACTGGAAACACACAAGGAAAACAAGCAAATTTGGAAGCCTCAGGAGGCAGAAGAGGGCACAACATTTTTAATGAGGCATAACATCTATTAAGTGAATACGGGCATTAGGTTATTCCATCACTGAGACACATCTGTATAAGTCAGTAATCTCCCTTTCACTAATGCACACTATATGTCAACCTTTATAATCTTTCTATTCTGTTATCCAATGTATTTCATTTCATTTGAAGGGAACTTTTAGCATTCCCTATAAGATTCACCATTAAGACTATTAATAAAACAGAGATGGTCTTGTGAGGGGGAAATTTTAATGATTTCAGAACCTCAGGCTCATTTAGAAAGTGACTCTTAGCTGGATTTCAAGTCCTTTAGGCTTACAGTACATTTACCAATAACTTTTGAAAGTTATATGCATACTACATTCACAGAATCACCAAATATGCTGAGTTGGAAGCAACCCACAAAAACTAAGCTCCCTCTCAGCTCTCAAGCATTCTGCCCTGGATTCACAGGTTCTTTTGTTCGCTCTCTTTTATGCCATTATCTCCAGGTTTCCTGTAGTACATAATTTCAAAAGATGCAGAATGCCCATTTCTACTTTCTTCTCACTTCCTTTTCTATAGCAGCCCACAATCTTGTAATTTAGGGTGACTTCTTGATACTGAAAATCATGAATTAAAATCTCTGGAGGGGATTATGTCTCCCTACTTGTCGAGCAAATTATCTAACTGGTAAAATACTAGAAGAGGTAAAAGCCTGCCATGACTTCAAAAGAAGAATGCTTTCCCCTTGCAGAGCTGTATGCAGTAGTACATGTTTTCACCAGTGATCTGATACTGCTAGTAACTGTCCTAAAGCCATGAACATATTTACACATCTCACGATCTTGGATTTGTTCTAGGCTGATAAAAATTAAGGTTCTATGTAATTAACTTTTAGGCAACCAAATTCTGACTTTGATCTGATGCTCCGAATTAACATGAAAGGGACTCACAATGCACAGTCAAAGTCAAGAAAGTGATGCAGTGGTGGCCTAACTAAAGTCATACAAAGCAATACCTGACAAGTCCAAGTCTTGTACAGAAAAGCTTTTGCAAGAGATTGATCACAACTTTTCGTTCTAGAAACTGCAATGGAAGCAATCCCATTTTCTCATCCTTACATTACATTTTTACGCTATTATCTTTCAGGCTATATGTAAGTAGGATATTTGAATTATTTGTCTTTGCTACCAGTAATTAATTCTGCATCTATTTGGTTTCAATTGTCTACTTACTTGCTTTTCCTCAAGGCATGTTCTACGCTGTGGCCTCGAAACTTCTTGTAATAATCAATGAAGGAGAAGGGCAGAGTGATATTTAGTGGGTTGGTCCTGTCTGGAGCTGCTGCCCGTTTACGGGACTCAAATGCTATCATCAGATCCACCCAGGCTGCAGGACGCTTGATCTTAAATTGCTCAATAAAATCTTCTCCAAATATTTTACACAGGAGCTTTTCAAATTCATAGTCCACACCTAGAGAACCATATGGCCCACCTGTACCACAAACAAAGCACAGTTTTAATATTCTGGACTGCTTATTACACTTCTACTTGACCACAGACATATCAGAGCAACACTATTAGGACTTTCAAGGGAGAAGGCCTACAGAAAGAGGTGTCTTTCCTGAATGTAACAGCTGGTCTAATACATAACATGCTCTTACCTTTGCCTCACTTCTGCTCCTCTATCATCATAGCCAAAGTAAAGCTAACACTATAAGTCAGAAACATTTTTATTAGAAGCAAACTGCCTTCTTACCCTCACATGAGGAGGTGTAGGTTGGACTTGTATTTAAGAGTAGCCTGCATACATTCTCCCATTTGCTTTTACTAGGTTGTTTATTGCTACAGTTGTTTCCTGAGATCATCTTACCAGTGTGAGATTTGCCATTCAAAAGCATCAGATGCATTAAGTGGTTCATCCACGTCTGCTGACCAGCAGCTGGGTTATACTAATTTTGAATGCTGGTCTTATTTCAGGGAGAACTGTTAGTAAAATGTAATAAAGGCATACATTTCCTTCACTGACAAGTCAAAATATTAAAAAAATATGTAATATACCATATAATGACATAAAGCAAGCAATGGAAGTGACATTACCTGTTGCTTTGTACAGCTCCTTCAGGTGTCCTTCAGGGAGCCTGATCTGATGGACAGTCATATCCACTGTGCCTCCTCCACTGTCAACAACGATGTAACGGTCCCCTGGTTTGCCAAAGGGAGAGGGCAATGGTATTTACATTAGTCCTACTACCCAGCACACTGCAATGAGAGCTGCTCAGGGGCATTAACACCATGAGAGACAATGACCTACAGAAAGCCAGAATGCCTATGTTGAAGACTTGATCTTTACTAGTAAATATAATGCAATGACTGATAACAAATATAAAAGTCAGCTGTCAAAAGCTATTGATTTAGCACAGCTGTAAAGTAATTAGTGGGACTGCTCGTGCTGCTATGTACATTCTAGTCGGCTACTAAATTAACACTATTTAAAAGGCATATTTAAAGGCCTATTCTGAGGAAAATATTCTGCATGCATTTTAAAACCTGGATGGTTTTCTACCATCTCCTTAATAAACTGTATTTTGCTAGAGCATATGGAATTGCAGTTCAGTGTTACTAAGAGCAGCACACGAACCTGTGGTTTTTTTCTTTTCCTATTTATAATCACAGTGAGAACAATGCAGTGCTCAGCACATTTGTGAGAAACACAATTTTTGCCTGCAACGTAAAACCAGTGAAAGCAATGCTTATTCAAGAAAGGACACTACCTTCCTCCAGTTCAGACCAGATCTCTCCTATGACGTTTTCCACCATAAAGGTACGACTCTGTCGTTTATGACGCACGTGTTCCTTAGCTAGGGGTTGACAGAGAATAAATTATTGAGTATAGGAAAGCATGAAGAAGTGGGTATCATAAATTGCAGGGTTATGCAAGCAGGCTGACAGGTCTGTATGTATCACTTCTTAACAAAACAGATGAACAAAAATTACTGCACTGGAATCAGGAACATTAGAATATCACTCCTAGGAAGAAGAAAAAATGTTTTTCAGCCACACTGATCTTCCTTGATATTAATATATATATATTATATATATGTTAATATATACTAATTAACTAATACAAATAATATAAACAAATAATATATACTAATAACCTAATAAGAAAGTTATAAACAGGTCTGACTTGGGGCTTTTTAATATATTCTGGATTGCATGGCTGGCATGGGGTAGGCTGGCAGTGGGGTGGGGGGGGACTGGCTCATCACAGCCTCTGTCAGCAGTAGCCCCAGTCCACTGCCTTTTGGAATATCAGGATATCAGTCTGCCTCTGCAGCCAAAGCACTACTGCTCACATTAGTAACTTCTTAAGGACACAATGATCACCAGGTCTAACACTCATAATATTTAAAATATATACCAATTAAAAATTCAGAGTAATCTAGCCATACTTTTATAGCAATCAGTTAACTTACAAGACTTAATTGCTACTTAGACATTTAAGAGATGCAGAACAGTCTGTGAAGAGAAAGCAGAGTAGTGAGAACCTTTGCCTTATGCTTCTAAATCAACCTCTACAACTAAATGATCAAAACCCCCCACATTCTCTGTTTATCCTTCACTCACCTTCAGAGGCATTTCATAAAACACTACAGAGAAGAGGCATCCAGTCATGTGTGAAAATTCCTTCTGAAAATATCAGCATGCGAATCCAGAATGCATTTTGCTTCCAGTTTCTACAGTGCCTATCACCAGAAAACAGACCAGCAGTTCCACCTGCTCCTGTCCCCTTCCCATAAAGACCCCACGAAGCAGACAAGCCACACCAGCCTCCCTGCACTGACTTGACAGCACGATGTGAGCTCACATGATGAAGCATTCCAGGATAGAACAAGCACTAGGTCCAAGGAAAGGCCTGACACAGAGCCCACAAAATTCAAGGGCAGCCCTTTCTTTCAATCCTGTGGGCTAGAAGTGAATGCAAGAGCCAGTCTTTAACTACAACTGAAGTAAGTTTATCCTGGCTACTATGAACAGTAAAATTTTTGTTTTGACTTCACAGCAATAATATGTTCCTTGGAGTAATTCTCTCTGTTTATAGTTAAGGGTTTTTTCTCCTTAATCTGTTCTCAGCTTGTCTTGGGTGCCTGCCATGCCTTTATGAAATTTTAATTCTATCCCAAAATTAATTCACTCCAAACTTTGTTTTCATTAATTTTGACATGAAACCTTTCTCATCTCCAATAGCTTTTACCATACAAAGTCAAGAAGGAGAGTGTTAACCCCATCCAAGAAAAAGCCCATTAGCACAAATCCATGATCTGACAGATTCTGCCCAGCTTCAAAACCTTATCTAGAGAAATTATTTTCTTCTATTATTTTCCCAGAGGCAAATCCCTGTGTTGTCTGAAAGTGAGTTAACGTAGAATCACATGAAACTGGAATGGTTCAGGACATGAATGTGGGGGACAGAAGCTGAGGGGCCCCTGAAGGGACTGTATCCTGGAAACAGATTGTGTCCTGTACTCTGCGTGGGCCTCCAAACACTGAACACATCTGACAAGAGCTGGCAAGGAGAGGCGTGGATTTGAGAGAATGATGTAGTGATTCTGCTAACTGAAAGAAAAAAATGCTCTGGTAAGTGCAGGAATAGCTTCACTAGCCTAATCTTCCATCTGCCTCTACTGTTTTGACCTAGCGAATGTGATAAAATACAGATTCTTCTGAGAAATTTGTGCTGGGACAGACTATCACACTACCGTTAATATCAGGGCAATTGTTACAGTGCACAGGGATGCCAAATATGTGCATTATGCAGCAATCAACTCTTACTGCTGTTGATTTTTTTTTTCCTCTCCTACTTCCCTCCAACTTCAGCAGGATACCAAACTCAAAAAACTCTGGTGATGAAGGATCTTTTGGTAAGTGACTTACACTGTGGTCTAAGCCCTGTCCCCCATTGTAAGTCAGTCTTCAAACACTGACACTAGCAACAGATCCCAAGTATATAAATCAGAAGTGCCCTATCTCATTGGCCTTCTACAAGCAGATAAATTAATTGCTATATTCCAATACCACGTGTTCCACTGTGTTGAAAGTCATTAATGGTATTTCATAAAGATGACATCAAAAAGCATCTGCCAAAACTAATAGTTTCATTGAAGATCCAGTTATTTAACACTGCTTCAATAATGGAGCTAATCAAAACACATAACTCTTTCCAACAAATTAAATTTAAAAAACGATCCAGCGTGAAGTACTGACTTAAATTAAGGCAGATAAATACTGCTGTGAAAATACTAAAAGACTGCCACAACATCTGAAAAAAAGGCAAAGCAAGGAAGCTGCCTGCATGCTAAAATTCAAGGAAGAAATTCTTTCCTGTGAGGGTGGGGAGGCCCTGGCACAGGTTGTCCAGAGAAGCTATGGATGCCCCATCCCTACAAGTGTCCGAGGCAAGGCTGGATGCGGCTCTGAGCAACCTGGGATAGTGGAAGGTGTCCCTGCCCATGGTACGGGGATTGAACTAAACAATTTTTAAAGTCCTTTCCAATCCAAACCATTCTGTGATGTCTGCTAGATCAATGTCTAAACTAGTCTAACTACAGCAAACAGCAAAACAGTTTATAAAAGCAAACTGAGAGCCTGAAACATTTCAAGAGAAAAAAAACAAGAAAGAGTAAGAAAACAGCCCTCACGCACAAAGTACACTTATGTGTAAGAATTCAAGAAGTGAATTAACAGCAGTACCCTGTGTAAATCCAGTTCCAATAGTGTCACTCGGGCTGTAGCCATTGACAGGTGCCCTACTGCTCAGGTCTATCATCTGGTGCAGGCGGAGCTTTCGGCAGTAGATAGAGGCAGCCTCAGGTTCCAGGGCAATGATCAACTGCTCGGGATTTTCAGGAGATGCCATTCCTGCCTGAGAGAGAGAATCATCAGAGAAGTGGGGTGGGAAGTCCCGCAGCCTTAGCAGACCCTTTCAGCTCTTGAACAAGGTTCTCCCCAGCTCACGGTCTCAGTTTAGGTCACCCCTTGAGTTCAAACCCAAAAAGGAGCTGTTGCCAGTGGTAAAGGTCTGGATCTGGGAATTGTCCTGCCCACAATGTACAGCACAACTTCACAGGCTGTCACAGGGAAGAATGCATGCACTTACCATGCTAAGTGTCTAACCAAGCAGTTGTGTACGTGACAGGTGGAGAAACGAAGGAAATCATTTTGAAACCTGTAATGAATGGCCTAAAACCTGAGCTCCTCATTAACCTGTCAATTTGCCTGCTAAAAGGGGCCCCAGCCTCTTTTAAGACACGAAAGAGTACCTTTGGCCTCTCCTCCTCACAACAGTATTTTAAGTATGCCTTTCTTTATGCCCCAGATATTCATAGTCCTTGCCGAAATGAAGTTCCTGCACTGTTTAACTGTACAGCAATATACAATATGCTTTGTCAGTAATGCACCTTCTGACTTACAACCAACCTTTTCTATTTCAAAATCCATTGCTTTTAAGCACATTCACTTTCATAAGATCTTCAAAATGCTCAGTTTATTCAAGGACACAAAATACAACAGGGCAGGTTCCCTAAAATGTAATGAGAACAAGCCTAAAAATAATCCCACATTATAAAATAAACATTTGCCATTCTTTCTATTTTCTTTCTGGATTTTCAGCCTTCAGACACATAGATTTTCAGGAAGCCACAAGTTCTTATGTAACCACATAGTGCACTCTTAGAGCTGGGCTTGGAGAAAAATATTCAAACAACAGTTGACAAAACTGTGTTTTCATTTCTTTTCCTCTGTACTTCTGCCTACAGTACAATTTTATGTTAAAACAGAAAATACATTTCAGCTCTTTCTGCCCAACTTTTGGTTTACCTGCTATTATTTTTCAGTTAAGTGCCCGAGTACTAAAGTATGATAGCAAATACAGAACAAAATGAACATGTTTCTGCTTCCACACTCAGTCTTCCAGCCTTTCAATTCATACAGGTACATTGTGGTGTCTCCAGAGCATCCCCAAAAGAAGGCAAACTCACATGGAAAGACTGCAGACCTGGGCTACAATTTGGTTTTTTTCATACAGCTACGTTGTGGGGCTGTAGGAATCGTTGGCTAATTTACACCTGCAGCTAGAAACTCAAAGTAAAGCTGGTTTAAAAGCAACACCAGAGTAAGACTTGGAGACACAAAATTGTCCTTCACATTTACTGACTCATTTTACCCTCTCCATCTTCTGAAACATGATAAATAGATTCTTACAGAAAGCATCTTCCACACTGTTGCGAATTAAAAAAGCAAAACAACCACAAATAAAATTCAAAATAAAAAAGTGAGAGTTAAACTAAACATGGTTGCTCATTATTTTAAAAGCACACCTCATGATTGGGACTGTGGTCACTTTACACCTTTTACTGCTGTTGGGGAAAACCTTCTGCTTTAGTTACATCCACTGGCCTGATCAGCATGATCTGAAATAAGTACAAATGTCTGGGGAGAAAAATACTGTGCAAATACCACAGAATATCAAACCTTACCAGCTGTGTTGTAACACATATTGAAAAAATAGTACATGTTTCCAACCAAACTATCAAACTTTGGAAAATACAGGTCCACAACAGCCAGAGCAACTCTAAAGTGTATAAAAAGACTATCAATCACACACAGGTCCAAGCAAAAGCCTCCTGCCATCACAGCACTTGCATGTGAGCATGTTGGCAGACACAGGCTCAGATAAAGCTCTGGAACTGTACCGGGGATGAAGTTCTTGCATCGTGCGTTAGTATAAACCCAATCTTTTCTCCAACCAGTCTGGATGTAGTAGGCACAAGCAGAGCTGGTTTCACACCAGCTCACTTCAACATCACTTACCCCCACTTGAGCTTTTCTACACAGGAAGCTTTGATTTGTTGCATTGGACAGAGCAATATTTGAAATACAGATCAATACTTGGTCCTTGACAGACATCTATCTAATCTGCTAAAGAATTCCAAAAATGTATGGTCTCTGCACATAGATTATCTCAGCCCTTTACTGTCTCTGCCTTTGGAGAGTTTTGCTAAAAGTCTAACCTGAATTTTGCTGAAATTCCAAGGCCAGCATTTGTTGCTCTACCCAAAAAGGGCTTGAAGAACAAATAGCTCCTTACTGCCCTGCTGCACTTTTCACTTATATTAAATCCATTATCCTGTTTTGTGAGAGCTCTGAATCTGAGCAGCAAGCAGGTTTTTTCAATCCCTAGCAACATGGATGAACTTAAGAGCGGTCAGCCTGCTCCATGTACTGGGCATGTGTCAGCAGCACAGATAAATCAATTCTTAGTCTCAGTCTAACCTATGCGCTGAAGACAAAATTGCACTAGGGAAAAAACAGTTTGTTGCTCAGGATATTAAAATTCAATGGTCAGAACATAGATCATTTGCAAGAGGTGACAAGACCTGAGTTGCACACACAGGGAATGCACTGGTATTTCCTAACTCGAGGTGGGGGGGGCAATGGGGGTGAGTAGGAAGATTGCATTAACTGCAAAATCATCTGTTCTAGGGGGAATTTTGGTACAAACTTCCAGGGTTGCTTCTGCTAAGAGAAAACAGTAAACCATTAACAATAACATTTGCTTCCTCCCTCCTCCAGCAGGTCTGTACCACGACCTTTTCACATTGCAGCCTGCAAGTCAGGAGAGGAAGGCGGTGACCTGCAGCGGATGAACTCAGATCTGTGTTGCAGACCCTCCAAGTACAGCAGATGCTATTCTTGCTACTTTTTCTCTCTAGCCATTATTTTAACATACCCAAAATATCTCCTGAGGAAAACATTCAACAGAAATGGCAATTTTTAACAGTTCAAAGCACAGCTGATCCTAACAGAATCTCATGAAGAATATGTAGAGCTTTTTCACTTAAAAGCTTTTCTTACAGACTTTGAAGGGGCAGTTACAATGAAGAATGTGTTATTTCACATCATAGAAACCATACAAAGAATCTTCTACAGTGAAAGGTACAAGCCAACCAACACGTTTTTATATGTACACATACACATATATACATACACACCTACATATTTATATATAAGTATATACATACATGTACATGTATATATAGCAATCAATATTTCACACCTAATGTATGTCGTAGTTCTACTTAGACCATGAGAGACAGCACATTACCGTTAATATATATACCCATACACAGCACAGAGAGAATGCAGGAAGGGGAGATGACAAAGAAACATGAACACACACATAATGCTAGGGAGGAATGGAGCAATGAGGTTGTTTTAATACAAGCTCTAAGATGAAGACTTAGGAGGCAGTACATCTGTCCTATCATTACAGCCAAGGAGCAAGGGACAGATGGGAGAAAAATATTGAGCATGCAGAGAAAGAGGAGGGAAAACAGCAGGCGGCAACACAAAGAAACAGTGATGCATTTGTTAAAAATATTAATTGTAGACATTTGGGAATCTGCTGTGTTTTACACTTTCTGCTTTCTATCTGCCTCACTCCATGCTGCCCAAGTACTACTGTAATTAAGAACAAAAATTCCCAAGGTAACAGGCCTGAACAGGACAGACCTAAACAATGTCTTGATATTCAACATTCTACAGATCATTCTGGCAGTGGGACAGATGCAGTAATTTGTTTTTTGCCTAGGGCAGATTATAGCAGACTTTATAATAGTGCAGTGTCTTGACTTTAGCCTGCTAAGAAGATTTTCCTTCTACCACAATACTTACTACCAGTATAAACCCAGTGATCACTTATGAGACACGAAGGAAGCAGCCACTCCTCCAAAACCACAAAAGTGGAAAATTCATCATGGAATTATAAAAAAATTCTTAAAAATTAATTTATTTGCAGGATATGGCTGCATTTATATACCTGGAAGAAGCAAAGGACGCTATAAAGAGAACTACGCTAAAATTCAACTTTGTTCCTATGCCTGAGGACTAGGATTCCATTTTTTGACAAGAGAACTCCCATATTTTCACTCACTCCAGTAAAACAGGTCTGTAAGCTCATGCCAGTGCATTGCTGTCCATTTGTCAAGATTCATGATTGAGAACAAACCTCAAAGTGCTTCAAAGTCTCATGTACTGGAGCATTAGTAACTTTACCATCCAGATGTAGGTGAATTCTCAACTTGGCTCACTAGCTTTTTTTTTATAGCCACAGATGTGCAACCAGGAGAGCCACAGCTGACCACAAAACATTCCTGATTCTGTGAACAGCATCAGCTGCTGAGTGCTAGCCTAATTCATCATTAGCAAATACTCAGGTCTGAACCAAAGCTCCGTATTAGCAATCTGAGCACTTCCAGAGAACTAAACAATTTTCACTCATTCCATATGCAGAATCATCATTACTACAGATTTAAAGATTTAAAAATCTCCTTTTAAAACCCAGCCTCACATGCACAGCAAAGAAAAGCAATGTTCTTTATATTTTTTTAATACTGCCCCATATATAACCTTAGAGACAGCATTATAGTAGAATATTCTACGTCGTCTGAACCTCTTTAAAAGGCAGTGAAAGCCATCAGGTAGGCCTAAATGAAAAGGTCCCATCTCTAAAAGCTGCTGTAATCAGCATTTAGCTTAGTCCTCCACAGCCAGGCAGGAATGCTGTTATTCTATCAGGCTTTATTTATCACACCACAGTGTCCTCAAAAGAAACGGTATGTTAGGAAATACACCATCATTGACAAGGTACACATTTCCTTTTACGTCTCTTTCAAACTACTTAAGAGTTTTTTTTCAGAGAGATACATCACATATCTTTGTAAAGGAAAGAAAAAAAAAAAGCCTGACCACTGATTTGTAACAGAAGGGACATGCCTTACTTGGAGCGCACCTGTTTCTTTCAGTTATAAAGCTGACTGAAAGAACTGATGGGATGAATTCTAATTTCCTGCTTTAATATATTTT